GTCATTATAAAGACATTTTATGAACTCTTTTTCTTTCGTCACCTTGGCAGAAATGTGCTTCCATAATTTTCATAATTTACTAAATGAACATCATGCTGCTGTATGGAAGAAGAGATTGAGACCAGAAACTCATCAGGAAACTGTTTACTAAGATAATAAATCAACTGAGAAATCGAGTTATTTTCTATTACTGCCTCCTGCTGGCCTTTAGAAAGAATACAGGTTTAAGGATCTTCCACATCGGCCTCATCCGCTACTCCACTTAATTAATATCCAGTCTATAAGTTGACGTTTGGTGATTAAAGTAGCAACCTTTGAGTTCAAGAAGATTTATAACACAACATTTGTTTTTAATAAAGATCTTTCACATGTGATTAATTACAGACCTTTACAGCATTTGTTTCTAATTGAATAATTGACCAATTCTAAAAAGCGATCCAACATTTAAATCATTCATTCATGATGGAGAAAGAAATGTTAAATTTGACATTTAATAATTGTGTTTCCTCATTCTGTCTTTAGATGATTAATTAATCAATTATCTCGTGTTACTGCCTGTTATATTCCCTCTCATTCACTCATTGTTTCCCCCTCTACAGTTTCATGTTGGCTTTCATTTTAAGACATAAAAGAAAACCCCACAGGGCATCTTATGGTGATTTTAAATGTATTCATCTATGAATTAATTATAATAAAACACTAGAATATGATATAATTATTCTGATATGGCTCCATAATGTACAGTCCACACAGATTTATATACACACTTTAGTAGCTCAGTGGGGAATATTTATGTGAGATGGAGATTTAATTTTAAAGCACTAATTTAAATATGATGTGATTTTGTGTAAAGAATAAAAATAACTTTATTTGTAAAGCACTTATTTAATCAAGGTAACAAAGTAAAAGCAATCATACAACACACAGTTAAAATATCAGAATAAAAGGAAATAAAACAAAAAAATTTAATTTTAAAAATTTCTGAAACTGTTAAAAATAGTTTAAAAGATAACATTCTTAATCAAGTAGCTTTAGTTATTTTAAGTGAGAATGACTTAATAATGTGACTTTTAATTGTACAATGAGAACAAATACCCAGTAAAAAAGTTATTCATCAGGAATGTTTCTGTAACTTACAAATAGAGTTAAACTGCTTCACTTTTTCTCCACATATATTAGCAGTATGCAGCTCAGTGCAGCTTTATACCATCTGCTTTATGTACCAGACAAAGAGACTGATGATGCTATACTCGGTCTGTGTTTCAAGCACAAAGGAGTTTGTGGGTGTGAAGGAGGTAGTTTCCAAAGCAAAATATAAGCAGGAAATATGTTTTAAAGGATGAAATCTCAGCAGCTCACCAAAGCTGTCACTGAGTCATGAGTGCTGAAAAACAACCTCACAGACCCCCGGAGGCTGCTGTGGGTTGTTTTTTTGTGATTTTGGATAAGTTGGGAGAGGAAATCTGCGCTCGCTTTGCTTTTGTCTAAAACATGGGACGTCTCGAGTGTGTAGGCACACAAACAAAAAGTACTCAAAGAATCTGCACACTGAGGGTAAAATGTGAGAAAAGAGCGATTAAATATAACAAAAAATGTTAACGACAGAATGAATTTCATAGATGAACAACAACAGCAGAAAACAGTGGAGAATTATAACTGAGTACATTTACAGTTTAAAATTGTTCAAATTAAAATGCTGCTTACACGTTAATGCTTCAGTTATAATGATGAAACACTGCTGAGAATTCTTTAACTTTTGGCACCTAAAGCTTCCAGACTTTTACTTGTAATCAGTGCCTGAAATGGACCAATTGTCCACATGAGTACCCTTACTTCTTACTGAGCACCACCACCTCTGGTCCCCTGATGTCCCCAAAAAACCTCTAGCAAGTTCAGGTTTTGGATCTTGCTACCCTTTTTTTTTTTTTTTAATTTTTTTTTTTTTAAATTTTTGGGGGTTTTTTTTTTTTAAAATTAATTTTTTTTTTTTTTTTTTTTTTTTTTTTTTTTTTTATTTTCTTAAAAAAAAAATTTTTTCCTTAAATTGGTTGTTTTTATCATGTTCATAGTTTTCCCTTCGTGGTTGCAAAAGGAAGTTGAAAAGTGAGTTTCGAAAAAAAACCTGGAGCTTCAGCTTGTTCTCCTTCGGAAGTGAAGCCTCAATAAATTCTGCTGTGTAACGTCATTCAAATGGGAAATCTATCAACAGGTTTGTCCTCGATCACGCCTCAAAAATTCGCGTAAGTCATCAAGTCTTGTAGATAAAAAATGTCTCTTTCTAAGGCACCGAAAACATTTCTGCCAATAGATCCTCATAAATGTTATACACTGGACCTCAGAATACGCCTTCTTCTACGACTGCCAGTAAAAAGTCCACAAACAGCAATCAACCAATCTGTCTCCCTCTCTTGTCTCCTTCAGGTGCCCCAATGCGTTGCATGGTCCTTCCAGCGAGCCCCGATGATCAGGTATTCGACCCAGAGATGCCGCCCTAACCCCTCTTGACACCACCAGACCCAGACCGGATGTGAAGGGCAGCCAGAGGAGGACAAACAGCAACCTGTTAGCGTGCAGGAGTCTCCACGCCGCTGGGATCGGACATGTTGGATTACAGGTCAGGCTTCTGGGCATTGAACCCTGCTCGCGTTCGGTGCTTAACTGGGAAACCTTGGATCAGAGTTAACGCGGTCTGGAATCTCTTCTTCTTTTCTGAATAAAGTATCCGATGGTCGGACGGGATTTTAACTTGGGATCCACGCAGACACTAAATGCTGCTCTGGGAATATACCGAACGGATTACTCTGGATTTTCCCGTTTTGTGACATTTTTCCAGGATGTTTTCACGACAGTCGGTGGCACCACTTCCTCTCTTTCCCCAGCATACAGTCACATGCCAAAGGATTACTACAGTATTATGACAGCATTATATTACAAAATTGGGAGGAATATTCAGACTTCCAGAAGCACACCTCTCTCTATTATCTCTTAGCAGTCAGAGAGAAAAAACATGTTGGGCCTTGGATTGAAAATACGAGCACATTGTCAACGTCTTGTCTCAAAAGCATCAATAATAACTAAACGGTGAACGTCTCTGGCACTTTAATCGTATGTTTTCATCTCATCTCTCTTCCCCTTCTGTCCCACTCTCTCTCTCTCTCTCTCTCTCTCTCTCTCTCTCTCTCTCTCTCTCTCTCTCTCTCATTCTCATGAACAACTGAATAGTATACTCTCCAGTATTACCAATCTAAACTCTTCTGGCTCTGAATGACTTAGATAATGTTGAAATAATCAGTGTGTTTGCGTCCATGGTGGATTGGTTCTCTCTATGTCGGAGTATTACAAAAAAAGCGAAAAAAAATAAAACTTGATGTCCCGAGAACGGAGCCTTGAGGAACGCCAGCGAGGATTTTATTCAAAGCCAAACCTAAAAGCACAGATGTCGGCTCTGCATTTGATGGTGAAAATGGTGAATTCTGTTATGTTTGACACTGGGAAGCGGCCGCACCCCGTTACGAAACAATGGTGAACTTGACCATAAGTGTTCCTATAACTAAAAGCTGGCGCTCGAGATCGTTAAATGTATTACGCGGTTTTAAAAGATGGCCAGCAGAACTTGCGCTGTCCCGTCCCCTCCCTCGCCCTCGCTCTCCCTCTCCTTTGCCGTTTGACAGTGTCTGTGTTTGTATGTGACATACACCTTACAGTCTTCGATGGTTTGATACCCATGATGATTTACTTTGAATATAACGAAACAAACGACCACAATAAGGAGAAAAAAACACAACAACAAAATGCGAAATGGGGATTTTATGCTTTCATAGATACAATTATGTGGATTTATAATGAAATAAAAAGGTATTTTTCTTGGAAAAAGTGTACGTGTTGTTATTCAAATTTCAACAGAAGCTTATTTATTATAAAACGTTATTGTTTGATGGACTAATGATTGTTACAATGGCCTAATTTTCAAATGCTGAAGATTTAGGCTGCAATTTTTACTGCTCACACTTTTTTGTTTTATCCTACAGGATCAAATCTGTACCTTAATATTTGACTCTGGTAATAACATTACTGAGATTGCAGTGACCTTTTGGTTTCCGTAAAGGCCACTGAGGGGCTGTCAGTCTCTAAAATGTAGTGCTGACAGAAAAAGTGTTCCACACAAAACACAAAACGGCATAAACAAAAGGTGCACAACCAACAAAACCCTTCTCACATGATGCAGCAACACACTCAAACTTGATTACAAACACATTTCTGTCAATTACCTCAAAAGAAGGATGCTTTGCTTGATGGCTGGAGGTTAGTTCAGGTGTTTTTAAGTCTTGTTGTATGAGGTACAAGTGAGTAGGAGTTCTGACAGGGAAGCAGTGCTGAATACAGGGTCAGCAGAAAAACGTATTTTAGCCACAGAAGAAAAATCTGAATCAGTTAAAGTTTACGATAAGAACCTTTTCAGCGTTTTACCTTGTAAGACAGCCTTTTTCTTTGGTACTACAATTCCTCAACCTGTTTGGTCTCCATCTGCAGAGAGAAACAAATCCATACAATAAAGGTCACTCTTTTTTTTCTTCTTTTTTTTTTTCTCTTCCATAAACCTCTGTAACTCCGGCTGCTGGCTGACTCACACTCAGAAACAATATTCTTGGCCCTCATAAACATAAAGTAATAAGTTAAATGTAACTAAATGTATGAAATCAGAAGTTTATTTATTCAAAAAAATTAAACATGATGTAAATATTGAATGCAAATAAATCGAGTAAACTTCCCAAATCCCATAAGGAGGCCCATCACACTCCAACACTGTAGGTGGGGCTTTTTTTAGGGATAAATATTCAGCAGTTCGTTGCTCCACCTCACCGCCGGGGCTCCTGCTGACCTCTGTCTACTGTAAGTAATACTCTGACTGTGGATGAGTTCCTCGTACAACCCATCAACATATAAAAGATGGACGTTGTGTCTCCGCTTCCTCCCACTGTACAAAAATGAAACAAAATATGGTGGTGACGTCATTCGGAGCCAGAGTCTACGCAGTTGTGATCGGGGTTGGCGATATCAAACTCCCACCCATACTTAATCATAAACAGGGCTCAGCTTTAAACATGAAGTATTTCTTAACTGTTGACTTAGAGACTGCAGGAGCAGAAACAAAGAGCTGCGCAGAATGTCTGATAACTAAACTAAAGGAGAAAGGAACCATAAATGGTTTTAAATAGTAAAGGTAACAAACATAAACAGCTGTCTTCTTATGCCAGGAGAGGGAAGCTGATGAGTTTCATACTTTGCACAGTGGTTAGTTGGGAAAGGACTACAAAGAGCAAATCTGCAAAATCTGTTATAAACTATATTAAGAGGAAGAAGATGTGTTTTTGGTGCAGCCTGGTAAATAAAGTCAGCGTAGTCCAGCATTGGTAAGATTAGTTGTAAAAGTAGGAAAAGCACATTATTCTTTTCATCAATTCAAAAAATTGTTAATTTCATTGTGAAAGTCACCACAAAAGTTTTAAAATGAGTATTACTGCGGACTCACTGATAGAAATTAATCACGGCGATGTCGAGCTATTCATGTATGAATATAAAGATTTTAAATACAGATCCAAAACCCTGATTTGTAGAGCGACGTCTTGTTGACGGTTCATTTGAGCTGCCATGTCTTCGGCGCACTGGCAACAGTTTCTGTGTCGCGCTTTAAACAAAGATGATTGTGATTGTCAGTTTTAAATACAGAAGCTGAATTGCCTTGTCATGGTTAGACAGTGAGAAGTGTTGTTCAGATTGCCTGCTTCCATTACCCAGTAGACAACTTTTAATGATGACAGGCAGCGCTGCATGTTATCATCACCCTTCACAAACAACTCAAAATGTCAGCCTGTCAAGAATAAAAAATAAAAAAGCTCATTTTCCACTTTGAGACATGCATATTTTGATGTTTTACAAAGGGTTGTCGATTTTTTGTGTGCGTTGGATACAATATTGGTCTTCAATAAGGCTTTAAATAGTTTAGTTTTACCTGACATCAACTGTTGGGATTGAAGGTTGTGGCAGAGCCCTGACTTCCATCAGGATCTCATTTTAGCAAAGAGTGAAGTGACAGCGAGGCTTCTTGGCGTATAAGTGATGTGGGAGACGTGAGCACTGAAATAGAATAACAAAACTTTGAATTGTTAAAATGTAAAGATTTTTTTTTATTTTAGTCAGTCTGCTTGAAGTTTCTGCCTTTTCCCTTGTGTCTCTGTATCTAATTTCATAAAGAGTATGATCTGCTCTATATGGAAAGTGTCCTGGGATAGCTGTTGTTATGATTTGGCACTATACAAATAGAATTTACTTTAATAAATAGCTTTTTATTTGCACATTTATCTCCGTTTTCCATATTTCTTTCATCCTGGACGAGCCCCCAAATGTTACATCCCAACGGGGATTCAATCCAGGCGATGTGGGGAGTAAATATATTATAATATTAATAAACGCAGGATAAAAGAAACAGAAAACTACTTGTTTGTTTGTCACCTTGACTGTTCCAGTCTGTAATGTCCCAACAGTGTCAGGAAAGTGAAGACGTTTCATTATTCAGTTAAAGCAGCATTAAGACGCTCTACAACGGGGGTCCCAGACTGCCGACCCAGGGGCAAAAAAAATAAAATAATCGGGGCTTTAAGATTATTTCCTTTTTTAATTTTTTGATTTTGTTTTTATTTCAGTTTATTAAATAATCATAAGCCCAAAAAATCTTGTATGTTATTACAGACGTAGTTTCCTATGAAACAAATGAGCAGAAAGTATGAATAAACTAATGTGGGTTAAACGACTGTATAAAAGCAGCTAAACTGACTATAAAGACACGTAAATACTCAAGTTGACCACATGGTGGCTCTCTAACATCATAATATGTGCAACAGGATCACAATACAGACTACAAACATCACATATCATAAATAAAAACAATAACATTGATAATGCACCAAAATATGGGCCCAGATGGGTTTTTTAAAATTAATTTATAGCTTCCCGAGGTCTCCACTGCACGACATGGTGAAAACATTATATTGAGATACTGTGATATGATTTAATTGAAGTTTCATTATTAAAACTATTCAAATCATGATGATGTGAAATTGTGGGAGGTCTGTACATGTTTGCAGGACTTTCATTATACTGCTGCTTTATCTTTATCAAAAAATATTGGTAATTTCAATGATATTGTGATTAAAACAAATGTGTTTTGACCCCTGATTTAGCTGTTATCACCTTCAGTAGACTTACAGTATTGTTTCATTAAGGGCACATTCAGTCGGTCCCAACGGATATAAAATTCATCATCCAGAAAAAAAAAACATGTCTCCAGTGCACATCCATGTTTTATTTTTATTTTCTCTAAAATATGTTCACAGTCCTCATGTACAAACCTTGAGGGATGTAAAAAATTTAATGTAATAACTTCACATTACACAGGAGGGTTAACAGTGCAGAAAGCAAACACAGACGCTTTTACAGCAGCTCAGCAATGTCTGCAAACCAGAAACGGTTATTATTATTATCATTATTTTACATTAGTGTATCTGCATCTGGCTCTGCAGCCAGCAGAGGGTTAGTTATCTTAGAGACCCCACAGAGCTCAGATTATAACTCAAACCCTGCTTACTTCTTATCCCCACCTCCTGGTGAGTCGACCAAGGAGGCACATAACCATATCTATCTATCTTTATCTAACAACACTGAGCGTTAACAGACAATGTCCTTGTTAAAATACTTAAAAACGCACCTTTTTTTGGGTCCAGTTCAGGCACTGCTTTCCACCTCTGAGTCACAGTATTTAAAGTAAAATAAATATGTAAAGTTAACACATAAAAAGTCATCAACCAATAAATTAACCACAATATTATAAAAATTAAAGTGATAGTAACTGGAGAGGCCAGTAAAGGCTAACCCTGACCTCTGCTCATACCCAGGTCAGTTTCACCTGTAACGACACAAAACAGTCTGAAGCTCAGTAATGCTCAGATCTTTACATGGATACGTGTAAATAGGATCAGGGCCCTCACACATTGAGTTTTAAGGGAAAAGCTGCCTAAAATCTTTTCACTATTTCCACTAGTTTTCCATCTGAATGTGAAACAAGCACCGTCGGAGTCTCTCTCCTCCTCCGTCAGAACTGGAACCACCAAGAACACAATCCTTCATCTCCACCTTCTTCTGCACGCCTGGAAAGACAACAAACATGTCCTGTTATTTCTAAAATAACAACAGGTCTCCTCTAACTTAATCCATCAATCAGTGCAGTACCTCAGAGTGGCAGCAGAGGGCGATGATGAGTAACATTAGCCCCAGCAGGAGGACCACAAGTCTGATGATCAACTCTGTTACAGAGGCTGAAACACATCATATGACATTATTTTAATTCAAGAAAAAGTTGCTTTAAGTCTTTTGAAACCTTTAAATAAGAGTAACGGTCGATATTTAATCATGTTTTTATTCAAATCTGATCAACTGATGTTTATGAAGTTACCTCCAACAGCGAGATAGAGCGTCTGGCTCTCAGAAGAGAAGTTATGGGAGAAAACATAGACGTGATAAACGCAGCGGTAGTCGCCCTGGTGGGCGTGGTCTGCAGCTGGGAACAGGAAGTGAGCAGAGTGATTGACAGCTGGCAGCGTGTAGTTCTGTGCTGCGTCGGAGGAGGCGAAGACGAGCTGGAAGGAACCTTCTTGGTACTGCGGTTCGACGGAGCATGTGATGGTGAAGTTGGAGCCCATGAGCACCTGAAGCCCCTGCCACTTGGCCTTGGAGACCCCATCAGTGGAGGGAGAGAGGGAGATGTTTGGATGAGCCAGCAAATCTGTTGGCAAGAAGGGAGATGATTGGCTAAGAAATCACTTTCCAGCACCTTCCAGAACATTTTCCACGAGATTTTATTGACAATACAGGACAGCACTTTTCAAATCAGATAGATATTTATTTTGTTTTACAGAAAATTTGAATGAGGAGCTAAAATACTAATACTTAAAACATTCCAGCATAACCAAGATTTTATGGAATTTTAATCAAATTCCAGGTGGTTAAAAAATAATTTTGATTAAGTTGCTTTTGCTAATAATTTTAAGTGACACTAACTTAGTTTTGTAAGTTACATGAAACATTAATTATTAATACATTTTTCCAAAGTATCACCGTACAAATAAAAATTTGAAAATTAAGGAATTTTCACTTAAAATTACTAAAGTTACATAATCAAGAATGTTTTTTTCTAACTTACTTGAACTAATTAAGTTAGTTTTGAACTTATTTAAACTTAAATGAACTGTATCTGGTTTTACAGTGTATATGATTACAGCGACAACATTGCGGATTACAACCCTCTCGCATCACCCTTCCAAGTGTGAAGGAGAAACTAAGGTGGCTGCAGAACGTGTGAAAAAGTTCATTGTGGCGGACTCCACCAGAAGAGGACCTGCTCCCTCTGTAGATAAAAACAGCTCATTCTAAGGTGATAAAAATACAATAATTCTTATATTCAGGTGCTTAAACACTCGTGAAAACACACCTATGAGTATTATATTTAATTTCTGACAATAAATGTTACACACTGGACCTTTAAGTGTTCAGTATTACCTGAGCATGTCACGTTAAGGCCAGTGTAGGTTTCAGGAACATTAGTCAGTGTTACACACTCCAACAGTGTAGCTGCTGCCTGGACACAGGAAGACCTGATCCACCACACAAGTCTGTCTGAAGCATCGTCTGTTATCTCTGTTGAAACAGCGGAACCACAGTCCAGCAGTCCACACGCTGCCGCTGCAGAGCTCTGGTCCCACTGAGAATCCCAGACCGCCACTGGTCTCCACTCTCCCTGGTTCTTCAGCTCCAGTGTGCCAGCGCAGCGGCTGGCCTCTCCCACCAACCTGATGTAGTCTGGATCTGGAGCAGAGGCAGGAAAATAATCAGTAAAAGAAGAAGTAAGCTAGTAGTCGAAGCCAGAGCTGTAGCTCCTCTCCTACCTGAGCAGGTGAGTCCGACAGCTCTGCCAGGTGAGCAGGGGCCTCCTCTAGCTGAGCCGGACCTGTCGCAGTCCCGGAGAGCAGACTCATTGCCTTCACACTGGAACTCTCTGGTCCACATTGGAGCCTTCTCTCCTCCATACAGCGCCCCCTGGAGGACTAAAGGAGCCCCACAGCCGAGCTCCCTGCAGACCACCTCTGCATCCCGCAGGTCAAAGTCTTCTTCACACACCGAGGACCACGACTGGTTGGACTTCACCTCCAGTCTGCCTGAACACAGACTGGTCCCGTTCAGCAGCCTGACAGAGTCTGTGGGTACATTTATATTTCACTTAAGTAAAAGTACAGAAGTATTAGCATCAAAATGTACTCAAAGTATAAAATTAGACAGAATAGTTTTAGAGTAATGTATATTATGTTGGATACAATCATGGATGCATTCATGTGTTCATCACTTTAATGTTGCAGCTGGTAATCGTGGAGCTAACTGTAGCTACATTTATATACTGCTGGGTAGCTTCATCTATAATATCGCATCGTAATTTATTAGCTGATTATATTTCAATCTGCAAAGCTGTGGGATAAATAGTGCAGAAAAAAGTACAATATTTGCCCCCAAAACATGGTAGCATAAAATGGAAGTATCTCAAAATTGTCTAAAAGGGTTAATTTAGGTCATTTTCAACCTTATTTTTTCATGTTCTTGTGTCAAAGTACTGAGTGAAAGCACTTGCAGCCTGCAGCCGCAAAACAGACCACAACAGGGTTGGTAAACTTTGGATTTTCATCTCTCTGTTCAAAGCCACCAGACTCCATTGACAGATTACAGGAGTTGCTGGTCTACTGAAACCTTGCTTGGTTAGATCTGATGTGATTATATTCTTGAGTTTGAGTGTTGAGAGTTTTACTATGATTCTGCACTATGTTGAAAAGTTATTCATGAAGACGTATTTTAGTTTGTTCACTGTACTTGTTTGTTGTAATGTTCTAATGTTAATCCACTGCTGGCAATATAACATCGTAGCATGGCCTCTACCACAGGTGTCATTAATGGTGTTACCTGAGCAGGTGATTTCCAGGCTATATTCACTGAGTTGATCCTTCATTGTCACACATTCCTTCAGTGTGGATTCAGACTGAACACAGGGAGAGTTGATCCACCACACAGGTCTTTCTGAGGACTCTGTTCTCTTTGCTGCTGAAACAACTGAACCACAGTCCAGCCGTCCACACATCGCAGCCGCTACCTTCAGGTCCCACCTAAAGTCTGCGTTAACCACAGATTTCCACTCTCCACGGTGCTTCAGCTCCAGTATGCCAGTGCAACGGCTTGTCCCCCCCACCAACCTGACATCATTGGGGTCTGATGAAGGTAAGTGAACGATCAGGGACAAAGAAAACACCACTTTAAATATAAAAGAGTCAAATCAAAGCAGCTCTACCTGAGCAGGTGAGTCCAACAGCTTTCCCAGGTGAGCAGGTGCTTCTGGCCGACCCCGACTTCAAGCAGTCCAGCAGAGCCGACTCATCGCCGCCACAGGGGAGCTCCCTCACCCACACCGGAGCCTCCACCTCCCTGTAGAGTCCCCCCTTGAAGACTGAAGGAGCCCCACAGCCAAGCTCCTTGCAGACCACCTCCGCCCCCTGCTGGTCGAAGTCATCCTCACACACCGAGGACCACAGCTGGTTGGACTTCACCTCCAGTCTGCCTGAACACAGGTTGGTCCCATTCAGCAGCCTGACAGAGTCTGGAGAGAGAGAGCTGGGTCATGTTTGGGGCCACAGCTTCGATGCTCAGGTACTGCAGGAAAGCTCAATATTCCCATTACATTACACACTGGGAAATAACTTAATGTGTGTGTGTGTGTGTGTGTGTGTGTGTGTGTGTGTGTGTTTCTATGTTCTCTGGCTTAGAATTTATGCCAATAAGGAAAACCTAAAATGAAAATTGGATTTGAAATGGAGAGCGGAACAGTTGAGGAGGATCTATTGTCAGAAATGTAATATAATATTCATATGTATGTTTTCATTAGTGTATAATCACTTGAATATAGAATATAAAAACATGACAATTCTTATATTCAGGTGAGAATCGTCATGTTTTCTGCACTAACCAAGAACAGACAAACCAAACATTAACTCTAGATTGGGCCACCATAGTTTCTCCTCTTGAAGAGCAGGCTGTATTCAATTGGTTGCAATCTGCAGCACTAGATGCTTCTAAATCCTTCACACTGGTCTTTCAAATTGGGGACAGATCCTTTTATATGATTGTCAACAAATAACAAATACTCCTGCATTCGATTGATTACTGTTGCAAGGGTCACTCGAGCATTGAATTGACTCATAAAGCAGCTGTAAACTGTATTTTCCACCTGTGAGAAGTCAAGACACTGTAAAGATTACTAGTAAATGTCATTAATGGTGTTACCTGAGCAGGTTATCTCCAGGCTGCCATGGGAAAATGTAGGTCTATCAAAACAGTCCATCAGTGAAGACGCACAGTTAGATCCGGCTGCCCAAACATTTGTCTTTGCAGGATTCATTCTTCTTGTGGTTGAAACAGGAGAGCCACAGTCCAACAGTCCACACGCTATACCTGCTACCCTCAGGTCCCAGTCCCTCTCATCCAATGGTTTCCATTCGCCTAGTTTGTTCATCTCTAGAGTGCCACTGCACCGGCTGGCTCCTCCGACCAACCGCAAACCACTGGGATCTGGGTAGAAACAAAAAACTTAATTCAAACAGAAATGAACCAATATGACAGTTGGAACAGTGGAAAGTCTAACAAAGACAGTTTGGATGAGTTTTATTTAGTTTCTACACTATGCATGAAGTTATGATGTTACGATGATCTGTGAGGGTTTATTCCAACCAAACCAGATTTGGTGATTGTTGGAAAGACAAATAAAGACGGTTTTGGTGATTTTTTATTGTGTTTCTGTTCAAAGTCTGCCTGGAAATATTTGTGGTTTTGTCAGTGGAGTTTGGTGCTCCAGTGCGACATCTACTGGCAGTGAATTATATAACCTTTACAAACTACTAACATAATCCACTGGTGGTCATGTTTTCTTTTACCTAAACAGGTGAGTCCAACAACTTTTCCAGACGAGCAGGTGTTTCTAACTGAGCTGTCGCAGTCCAGGAGAGCGGATTCATCTCCTTTACACTGGAACTCTCTGGTCCACATTGGCGCCTTCTCTCCTCCATCCAGCGCCCCCTGGAGGGCTGAAGGAGCCCCACAGCCGAGCTCCCTGCAGACCACCTCTGCATCCCGCAGGTCAAAGTCTTCTTTACACACTGAGGACCACGACTGGTTGGACTGGTCAGACTTCACCTCCAGTCTGCCTGAACAAAGACTGGTTCCGTCTAGCAGCCTGACAGAGTCTGGAGAGAGAGGCAATTCAAATTGTTTTTGTTTGTTTTTTTTGGTATAAAGGAAGCAAAGTAGAAAGTACTGAAGGGTTCACCGGTTGGTGGTTGAAAAGAGGATTTTGGGGTGTGCTTGTCTCACATGTGTAACTGCCTTATTGTTAATGACACTGACCTGAACAGGTGATCTCAAGGATTAACTCATCGGACACCATACTGATCGGCATAAGGCCAAATTCAGAAACAAACATAGGTATGGAGGAATGCTGGGTTCTCCGTAATGAAACAACAGAACCGCAGTCGAGCTGTTGGCACACGGCAGCCGCAGACGTCAGGTTCCAGTTGTACTGGTCAACCACTGGTCTCCAGTCCCCCTGGTGTCTCTGCTCCAGGCTACCAGCACAGCGGCTGGCTCCTCCAACCAACCTGACATCAGCAGGCACCACTGAACACAGAAACAATTAAGTTATTTAGAAAAAAAATAGTGCACAAACAGACAATTATTATTTCTCCATTAGCTGCTTTCTATCTATCTCTGCTAGTAACAATCACATCCAATGACAAATTTTCTGTAGCGATGAAGTTCTGGTCAGATAATATAACAAATGCATTGTATGTTTGTTTATGTAATATAGTTTAGCCCCCAAATGAAGCTATATGAACTCAAAAGCAATAAATTATTGTGGCACATTAGTAAAGCATTGAATAGAAATATCTAAAGGTGGCATTAGAACTCTGGTTCCCAACCTGGGGGTTGGGACCCCCACTAAGGGTTGCCAAAGCTTCACAGCGTTTCGCGAGGCCTTCTTGATTTTAAGGCGCGCTAGAAAACCACAGTAGGCCTATATCTCAACATTTAGTTCACCTCTGTCAAGATAATGTCATGTAAATTGTCTAATAGAACAATGGCCAAGCATCAGGGACAAGAAGGAGCCTATTAAGTCTGTATGATTGTGTAAAATGATTAAAAATATATATATAATAATTGTCTAAAAAGTTCCCTAAACGGGAACTAATCTGCTCCAAATCTCTCGTTTTACACGAACTTCTTGCAGTTATTAATAATATATTATAAAATATCCATAAACTTTGTCTCTGAGTCAGTTTACTAAATGATAGAAAAGGGTTTCCATTAAGGAAAAAGGTTGGAAAGGACTGGATTTGAAATCAATAAACTTATTTTATTGAATTTAAGAGTCTGAAATGTGACCATAACAGAACATTAAATACATTTTAACATGTTATTTTTTTTAAATTAATCTAAATGAATGTGTTAACTTTGACACCAAACTGGGGTGGCCAGGCATTTTGTACTTGAGGTGAGCCTGTGAAGCCATTTTGTGCAGACTGACTGCAACTGTGTCATTAAGGCAGCAGGAGGGACAGTAAGTTCTAATATTCTATAAAGTCAAATAATATCCATACAGGGACTGACAATATGTGTAGGGTTTATTGATTTTATAGTGAATTATTTATCTATATACTTTTAGATATTCCTCCATTAACTGACGTTTCTGTGTCTGTATTTCAATTCTACACTGTAAAACCTGACGACACATTTTAGTAAAAGATGTAAGTTATCATAAATTAATCCTCCAAACAAACTGCAGTCACTCATTTACATGAAGTAAACTCAAAAATAAACTGTTGAAGCAGCTCAGTTGTTTAGAGTAAACTTAAATGTGTGCAGTATTTTAAATACAGGCGATTTAATTCCACTTTAAGTTGACTTTATATCATTGTAAGCATTATAATATAGTATAATATAGCGCATAGCTTCAATTGTTGTTTTATTTTGTTTATTAATCATCATAAGCCCAAATATGCATCCAAATAATTCTTAATGATTCCCAAAGTGTAAAGATTTGATGTTTTTCACATAAAAAAAAACCACAGAAAATTAATCTGCTGGCATTTTAATAATCAATTAATTATAATTTGTTGTTAGGTCAGCTTGTTTTGACAGGTAAAGTAATAATTTGCTTTAGTGGAAGAAAACTCAACTTAAGTGTCAACATTTGTATAAAGAAGATGTATTTAAGTGACTTTATTCAGATAAATTCTGTTCACACATTTTAAATAAGTCTGGAGAAATACTGCCTGTGAGTTTAACTTCAATTAACTGAATGGAAATTAGTACAAATCAACTTAATTTACTCAAGTTACCTTAAAGATAAATACCTGAGTTACTTCAAATCAAATATCTCTCATGCTTAAATTTCCTCAATCAGTTTGAGTTGAACTAACTCATCAGGTTTTACACTGTATCTTATGACATTATAATTTTTATCTTGGTATTAATTAATCGGTTTCTGCCTGTAACCGAAGTAAAACCAGAACCAGAGTCCTACCTGAGCTCCACAGCGACAGAAACACAGTCAGCACTCTGTAGGGGTCCATGTCCGCTCTGTGAGTCGTCAGCCACCGGACGCTGGTCTTTATCAGGCCGGGAGTCAGGGCCAGCCCTCTGCTTTTATTTTTGTAACTATTTCCTGTCTGCACACAGCTCTGTTTTCTTCTTCTGATTCTCTCTTCTGATTATTAGGTGTCTGTTTAATGAAAATTCTGGTCAAAATTATGATAATAATACTTTTATTTTAATGTAAATGTTTGCTAATAAGCTCATTTTTTAACCTATTCACAGAATTAAAGAGGATAAACCTCAGAAAACTACCAGTGAGGAAGATTTTTAAAGTTCAATACACAATGTATTATTATTATTATTATTATTATTATTATTATATTTTCCTCCTAGCAGAAGCAACTTAAGAACAAATGTTTGTACGTCATGCATGCAGTCTTTAAAATAAAGCTTCCTGCCATGCCGATCTCTTCAGTGCTAGTGTCGGTTGCTATGGTAACGTGTATTTGCATGTATAGTATAGTATAGTAATATATAGTATAGTATAGTAATGTCGCTCAATAGCTCACAGACAGTGAGAAAAATAAACCACACATGCTCCTGTGGTTGAATAATCTGACTCAGCTCTTCCAGTCCGAGATAAGTGACTTGTTTTGTGGATATTTCATATTATGTTCAAAACTGTACAAACATTTGTGTAAAACCAGAGATTTAGATGAATTCTGAGTGGATTATTTCCTGTTATACAACTCTCTGTCTGTATTATGTATTTTTATCAGTTTAACAATCACACAGACTTAATAAGCATATTGTTTTTGATAGATTCAGTGTTTTCTCCTCCGTGATGCTTTGTCATTGTTCTATTTGACTTTACTTTTCTTCACAGAGGTCAACCAAAAGCTGAGATATAGGCCTATTGTTTATATTTATGTTTTCTATAGCGCTCAATATCAAGAACGACTCACGACCTGCCGTAAAGCTTTGGTGACTCCTAGTTGGGAACCACTGCACGACCAAGCATCAGGGACAAGAAGCCTATTAAGTCCGTATGATTGTTAAAAATGATAAAGAATACAGAATACAGACAGAGAATTGTATAAAAAGTTCAGTAAACGGGAAATAATCTGCTCAGGATTCATCTAAATCTCTGGTTTTACATTAATGTTTGTACAGTTTTGAATATAATGTGAAATATCCATAACTTAACCATAACGGCAACCTGGTGCTTTCTGTTAGATAATGTTGTATCTTCTGACTGATGTATGAATATTAGCTGTAAATATAGATTTAACAGATCACCACCCCCACTGGAAATTAGACCACTCGTCATTGACATCATTGAGCAGAGTACAAACATTGGAGATGGTGACACACTGCGAGTTGGACTCAGTATCAGATTCTTCTTGTCAGATGTGCCATTTCCTCTCCATCTTCTAATCGCCCTATCAGTTTCAAGCGGTTTTGATCATCAGTCCCACGTTTCCTGCTCGCTGTGCTGCTCTTTCATACAGACTGATTATAAAACTCATCACTGAGAGCTGAGTAAGGTTGGGGGGGGGGGTTTGTGACGCAAAACTGATCACAATATCTGTCAGAATAATAATAATAAATAATAATACACTTATTGAGCTGTGGAGCCAGTCGGTGAGGTAGGAGGGGGGCCTGGCTGTGGAGGAGAAGGACTTGGAAGAGGAGGTTCTGGAGGACGGGGTTAGAAGTAGTAGTAGTTTGTTGCTTCACAGAAACAATCATACCTCAAGAACAGACACACATCAAAAAACAATTACAAAATCAACATAAAAACATCTTAAAACATGGAAGACACTACATTTTAACACCGACAATGTGGCAGCTTAAAAAAACTGTAATAGACTATAAGAAGTGCTATGGTGCTGGTTTGCATGGTCCTATTGATTTAGTGTTAGAGTTCAGCAGCTTGATAGAAGTCGGGACGAACGATAACTTCAGTCTGTTTGACGGGTGAGCGGGAACGGGTGAGCGGGGGCGAGCAGCAGAGGTCCTGATGTACTTTATTCAGGACTTTGGATGATGAGACGCTGCTGCAGTGTTCTGGATGTGATGAAGGTGTGGAGGAGAGCGTGACGTGTCCTTCAGGAGGAAAAAGGCCTTGTGGTCGGCAGGAACTGTGTTAATGGTGACCGATGTGTCACAGCTGAGTTTGAGGAAGCTGGTTTGCAGAATAATTGTAATATGATGTTTTAACAAACTCATGCAGCCCTGTTTTATTTTCACCCCGTTACATTAGCAGGAAAAAAGCCACTAAAAATATATCAGTATAGAAAATGTGGGACCTTTCATACGTTTGGCAAACACGGCGACAAATACATGTTCATTAAGAAATGTCCAGACACAAAACTGAGAGGAAAAAGAACTTGTTGCTGTTGATCAGACTGTCACAGATTACTGCATCCCGTCATATTGTTGGTAACAGGAACAGCCGCCGCTCTGAAGAGATATATACAGCGCTTCACTTTTTACACAGTTTATGTTACAGCTTTATTCCAAATGATATCATTATTATTTTCCACATCAGTGTTCACAGCCTTTGCCATGACACTTTAAAGTGAGCTCAGGTGCATCCTGTTTCCACTGATCATCCTCTAGATGGTTCTGGAACTTGATTGGAGTCCGCCTGTGGTAGATTCAGTTGATTGGACCTGATTTGGAAAGGCACACGCCTTCTACCTTCACCGTCTATATAAGGTCCCACAGTTAACAGAGCATGTTAGAGCACAAACCAAACCATGAAGTCCAAGGAACTGTCTGCAGACCTCTGAGACAGAGATCTGGTGAAGAGTACAGATAAACTTCTGCAGCTTTGAAGGTCCCAATGACCTCAGTGGCTCCATCATCTGTAAATGGAAGACGTTTGGAACCACCAGGACTCTTTCTGCCCGGCCAAACCGAGTGATCAGGGGAGATTGGGTGCCTCAGATGAATGCAGCAATGTACAGAGACCTCCTTGATGAGAACCTGCTCCAGGAGCTCTGGACCTCAGACTGGGGCGACTGTTCATCTTCCAGCAGGACAACAAGCCTAAGCACACAGCCAAGCTAACAAAGGAGTGGCTTCACTCTGTGGATGTCCTGGAGTGGAACAGCCAGAGCCCAGACTGGAACCCGATTGAACATCTCTGGAGAGATCTGAAAATGTCCCCATCCAACCTGATGGAGCTCGAGAGGTCCTGCAAAGAAGGAACTGCCCAAAAATAGTTAACAGGTAAATGGACCTGTACTCGTAGTTTCCTTTCGAGTCTTCCGACCACTCAAAGCGCTGTTACACTACGTGCCTCAATCACCCTTTCACACACCGATGCACAGCGTCTGGAGCAATTTGGTGTTCAGTATCTTGCTCAAGGACACTTCAACATGTGGCAGGGATCGAACCAACAACCTTCTGATTAGTGGACGACCCGCTCTGCCTCTGCACCGCTTGTAGCTTCATACTCAAAGACTTGAGGCTCTAACTGCTTCCAAAGGTGCTTCAACAAAGTATTGAGCAAAGGCTGTTTAATACTTACGTTCATGCTGTATTGTCATTCTTTATTTTTAATACCTCCGCAAATATTTCAACTTTGTCCTGTTGTTATTATGGGATATTGTGTGTGGACTTTGTGGATGCACTGTATCTTCATCAGTGACTCTTCAGTAAAACAATGTGCACATTTTAAATTTAAGGTCTTATTTGTGTTTCTCTACTCTTTACTCTTGTTGTAAATGAGCTCTGTGTATTTCTGGGTTAAAATGACAGTTTAATGATTAGAGTGAATCTACAGGTATCACGTGAGTCCGTTTTAAAGCCTCTGGCCTCGGTGATCAGGCTGAACCTCCTGTTCCTGGGTTCGGTATCAGTGATGAGATCAGGGAGATGTTAACACTGACGCAGTAACTGGTTCGTTTCACTAGAAAGCAGATGACAGGATGATGGAGTGATAAAGTAAAAGTCATGTGCTTGTGAGGGTTGACGTAAATGAGACTTATTGTACATAAAATCTAGAAGTTATATCCATTTTATCACTCTCAGGTCTCCGGTAGGGGGGAGGCACTCTCTCACACTCTCTTCCTGCTCTTCTTTACAAAATAAAAGCATCACAAACATTAAGGAACACTGAAGGAGCCGTGACTGCGGAGGTCAACATGTTCAGACCCCTGAACTCATTCTGGACGTCGTTGAGCTCAGAGCTGCTTTGTGTAATTTATAACAGTAAATGAAGAGACCTTGGGGGTTTTAACTGTTAAGACATAAACGAAGCTGCTGATGAACATTTTATAGACGATTAATCATTTAGTTGCAGCCTTTAGGTGAGAATTGTATTGAGTTCATTGGTGATGTGAGGATGTGCGTCGCTAGACTCATTTTATCCAACAGTTTCTCAACTTATGTAAAATAAAAATAAACTAGGAGGTAAAAATCTAAATATTAAAGGTTTGAAAGATTTCTCTCTCTGCACTTTTTATTGTATTTACTGTAAATGTTCAAACAGCAGCAATAAAACCAAAGATTAACCTGAATGGCCACAGTCTGCTGAAGATATATTAAAATAAGAATAATCTGAGTTTTTAGGCCTTTTAGGAAGAATGTACAGAAAAATAGATGAAAACGATTAATTGCCGCCTTTAAATGAGAATGAATTGCATTATTAACTTCTTTTCCAGAAAGAAACCAGGAGATAAAACTGAAAGCAGCCTCTGATGTCACACAAATGAACACCGGGGGGGGCGTTTGCACTCCTTTTACCTTTATTACCTTTAGCTTTGCATTGTGGGACAACCAAAGCACAGAAAACAACAACGTAAAGTAAAATAAAGTGCAGACCTTCGACACAACAGTAAATAACCATTCCACCAAAAACAAACAAAAACAATAAGAAGTGGATTCACCTGCATGACTCAGCAGGAATAACATGACTCGACGATTTCTTAGTCCTTTTGGAAATGGCAGAACTTTAAATTCAGCAGTAGGTAAAAGAGGAGGGGCGAGGACTTAATGTGCTTCCTGCCTCCAGTTTCAGACCCCCCCCGGATCCAGATCTGGTTCTGGAGTCCCCAAAAGTCTACAGTCCTATTAGTGTGAAATTCTGGGATGACAGTCTTTGTTTGTGCCCGCCGGGATTCGGGGAGCGACTCCGGTAGTGTGGAAGTGGTTCGGTGACAGGAGATCCGCTGGACGACCAACCACAGTAATACGGGAGGAGTGGAAGAATGTCAACAATGTCAGAAATACCCTGAAACATCCCGATATCGACCTCTCTGAATGAAGACGCAACCCTTCCCGGTTCTGCTGCTTCATAATAAAAGCGTTTAAGACTTTTATTGTGAAGAATATGTAGGAAGTTATCACCGTAGTGGAGGGCGGGAGGTCTGAGAGCACTTTTTAATTCAGTCCGTCTGTTTTTCTTACTTTATTTCTCTTCCTAATGATTCCCGACGCTCCATGCACATCTGTAAGGACGATGAAAGCAACGTGTGAAATAAAACCGTTCAATAAAACAAGAGCAGGGTTAGTACGTTCAGATTCTGCCGCCGACACATTACAGTTCCTCTCGGTGTCCCGGGGCTCGCTGTACGTAGCGCCGCCTAGTGTTCATCTCCGTCTGTGTTTGTATCTCCGCACAGCAGCACCATCGCGTGTGTGTGTGTGTGTGTGTGTGTGTGTGTGTGTGTGTGTGTGGACTTCAGCAGCTTTAAAACACCACGTTTTAAAATGCCAATTACAGTGTGGAAAACTTTCACCAACAAACAGTAAATAAGAGGAAACAGATATGGAGGCACTGCGATATTAAACTGTGTGTCTGTCACCAGTTCGCCTCTGGGTGAACCTTTCTGTCCCGCTGCCGTAAGAGGATTGTTTCCAACATGGCGGCCTGTGATCTACCTGCACTCGGCTTCCATCCTGTCCACGTTGCCTCTGATGAAAACTAGCGGTTTGTCCTCCGTCCTTCAGAAGCGTGGCGTGGGATGGTGGTGTGCAGCCAGCTGTCCGCTGTTGGCTTTGTCTCTCAGCATAGTCAGCGCCGTGTTGGAGAAGTCCCGGAGGACGTCCACCGTCTCCCGCTGCAGCAGCAGAGACTCCTGCACGAACTCCTGCTGGCTCTCCACCAGCAGCTGGACGGACTGGGCCAGAACCTCCAGAGACTGGGACACCGAGGTCAGCAGCATCCTGCTGGCCCGCTGCTGCTGGAGGCTCTGGGAGGCCATCTGGGCCACGTGGTCGTAAGCCCTGCGGGAGGAGGCGCCGGCCGGGAGGGGGTCGGACGGGTTTGAGCCCGAGGTGGAGGGAGGATTGGGCGGGAGGGCTGAGGAGGAGGAGGAAGAGGAGGAGGGAGATGGTTGATTGGAGTTGGAGGAGGGGGCAGAAGAGGTCGGAGCTACGGAGGAGGAGGAGGCAACAGGAGCGGGAGGCGGAGGGATGGAGGAAGTGGAGGGCTCGGGGTTAGAGGTAGAGTCATCGGCTGCGATAGATTTAGAGGAGGAGGCGGGAGGCGGAGCGGGGACGGGGGCGGCTGTCGTGTTGGAGGGGGACCGCGACGAGGGAGGTGCAGCAGAGGAGGAGGCGGCGGCGGCGTCTGCGTCCGACACTGGAGGGAAATCAGAGGAGGTGGAGGGTCCAGGTGGAGGTTTGGAGGAGGTGGTGCTCTGCCCGTTCTGGCTCTGGCTGCTGTTCCGGGAGTAGGTGTGGACCGGCTTGATCCTCAGCAGGGCGTCGTCGGGGAGGGGGTCCAGGGAGGTGGAGGTGGAGGGCGGTGGCAGAGCGGGAGCGTAGGAGGAGAACATGGAGTCATCGTTCTCGTCGTAATCCATCGTTTGTTCTGGAACAGACACAAAAACTGGAATCACTGGTTTCCTCTTTGTCTCAAATACTGACGCCAGTTTACAGACTTCAACCTAAAACTCTGTTAGTTTATTAGTTTGTGTCATAAATAAAATGTAATAACTCGTCATCATCTGTTCTTACCTCCGTCGTCAGCCAGGTCTAAGTCGAACTCAGAGGAGGAATGAAAAGGATCGGCTGGGAAAACATGGAAACATTATTAGATTTTGGAGACACACATTGAGGTTCTTACTCAGGTTGTTGTTAAAGTATTCTTTATTTATTCTGGTTGTTTACCATAAAACCAATTAATAAAGTGACGTAGACTCTCATCTTCCTCCTCACAACTCATTAGAGATCGACTGATACCGATTATTAGGGAACCAATAACCGATATTACTTTACTTTTTATACAATTCTCTGTCTGTATTCTGTATTTTTTTAATCATTTTTAACCATCAAACAGACTTAATAAGCTTCTTTTATGACAAATTCAGTGTTTTCTTGTGCCCGACACTTATTACGGCCATTATTCTATTTACTTTACATCTCTTCATCTCTTCTGCTGAGATATCGGCCGAAGATTTCTTCAGCCCTAACTTAAGTTACTTAGCAGATTATGTTTCATTATAGATGAATCTACAATACCAGTGTAACCAGATACTGTTTTAAATAATTAATTAGCCACTCAATTAGACAAATATGAGTCCAAAAATTGGGAAAATGTTCAGTATCTTATCCCTACAACTCATCTCTGTATCTTTTATCTTTCCCTCTTTCCTCCATTTGCTTTAATAGTTCTTTAATCTACTACTTTCTCCACTATCAGATGGGTTCTTTGTGTTTTCTCTGCCCCTCTAAAAGCAACCAATCACTGCACACTGTTCTAGATAAAACAGGACTAACAGACTCACCACCAACATCTTTCTCTGGTGAGGACAGAGGGGAAATGTCTAAGGAGGATCCTCCGGGTAAAGAGTAGGAACTGTCTGTCAGGCTGAGGTAGGAGTAGGCGGCAGGGGTGGCGTTAGAGGGCGGGGCTTTACTGTAAAGCTTTGGAAAATCCTCATCTTCGCCGAGTTCCAGATCACTGTCGCCGTCTGAGAACCAACCGATAAAACCCGAGTTTATTAAGGAGACGAAACAGTTTGATTCAGACTGTACGATGTCTCTGTGCTCACCTCCTCTGGGACTCATCATCAGGATCTTATGGACCATCCTCTCCACGGGGCCCAGGTGCTTCTTCCTCAGGTTGCTGCCGTTGGGGCCCCGGAGGGCGACGATACGCCGCTTTCCGTCACATTTAAGGTCCGCCCACTTCTTCATGATCTGACGCACCTGAGAGAAAATACACAACCTCCTTCAAAAGTCTTCTTCTGTTATCATATATACATCTGACTTATAGACAAAATGAGGAACTGGTTCATTAATAAACAGTAATAAATCCTTTAGGAGCTTCTGTTTGTCTGATTTAACAAAACAGAACCAACTTTTAACTGTTTATTTCTGATTTTTGGGTCATTAATGGACAACTTTACCTACAAATACCTCAATAATTTATTTAAATAAAACCATTTTAAGAGGAAGGATCACAAACTCAACAACCAACCTCTCTGTGATTCTCTCCCAGGCCGTTGATCTGATTGGTGATTTCAGCCCAGGTCTGTTTCTTGGTTTCCGCCGACACCCCTTGGTTAAACTTCCCTACAGGGGGAGGGAGGGGAGGGAGATAACGGGTGAGACGCAGCAGACAAAGACCTCCACACAGGAGCAGGTGGTCCCTATTATACTTTAACCTCAGCTTTCTGTCCCAAACGCTCATATAAACTGCTGTTTCGGGGCCACAGTCCATCAGTTAGAGCTCAAATCGACTAGAACTGATTATTATTTTACATCAAAGTGTTCATTGCACATACGATTATTATTATTATTATTATTATTCTTCCTGCTCTGGAAACAATAAACTTGATACGGGAAAGATCACCGCAGTCAGTTCCTCACACAGTTTATCCGACCAACAGTCGAGTTTCAAACTAAATCAGACCTAAATGTATGTGGGTAATCTGAGTGAGCGGCTCAAATACAAACATTTCCAGGATATTTGCTCATTTTTAATCAATTTCCAGGCTTTTCCAGGATGCGTGGGAACCTTAGCCTTACGCATTATTTCCAGATAAGGACATAAGGGATGATCTTTTTTAGTAAAATGTCCACTTATGATGATTTCTTTTGGCTTCATGACTATAAAAACACACCATTTTCTACAAGCTTTGGACCAGAGAGACACACACACACACACACACACACACACACACACACACACACACACACACACACACACACAGAGGTTGGTTCTCACTGAGGATGATGTATCTGTTCCTCTTCACCGCCTCCAGCAGCACTTTGACCTCGGTGAAGGAGAACCTCGGTTTGGCCTTCAGCGCTCCTTTCACTCCTCCCACCCTGAACTCCTCCTCGTCTTCACGCCACGCCACCGACATGGCCGCGCCTCCGTCCTCTTCCCCTCCACCTCCTCCTCCTCCTCCCTCTCCTTCTTCTCCTTCTGACAGCCACGCTACAACTCAGCTTGACACCGAGTCCCTCCAGGACTAGTCTAGTCCTGATCCTCCTGCCAGTCTGGACCAAAGACTCCGGTCTGACTGCAAAGGGACCTGCAGAGGAAGATTAAGGAGAGAGGGAGGAGAGAGAGACAGTACAGAGGGGAGAGAGAGAGAGAGAGAGAGATAAAGAAGAACAATGAGAATTAAGTAACTTTATGTTCTTCTGAAATGGAGAAATAAACCAAATATTGCTCTTCACTGCAGAATAACGTGTGAAGACGAAGCGGCAACGTGAGGAAAAATTCCTTCATTAGTTTTCAGGAAATTCTGAAAAAAAAAAAAAAACTGACTTTAAATAAACTTAAAAACAGTAAAACTAGCTTTTAGTTTAAGTTTACACCAAAATGAACAGATGTAAATGTTGTTATTTACTTAATTATTGGGGCTGTTTTCATGAAAACCAGTGTGTTGGCATGTTAATATGTTAAATTTAAATATTTAAGGAATAAAATGAGGTGGTTTCTGCCCTGTGGATCATCCTGTCCGACACTTGGTGGCAGTAAAAAACTGTAAAACAGGTAAAACAAATGAATTCAGACAGTATTACTGATGAACTGATGAGACTTTATTGATACCAATACCTTTATCTATTGTGTTAATTCTCTGTGTGGAGATAAAGTCGGCTTACACAAGTTTTCAGCTTCAGTTAAACTGATTTATTAACTCTGAATTAGTTCAGATAAAGAGTAAGGCTGCGTAATGAATAGAAATATTATTAAAGTCACAACATGCCCATCACAAGAGCTGTAATGTTTTGATGAAGGTAAAATGTGACAAACAGCTTTATAATGAAGTGCTGTAGAGCTGCAGAGGTCTACAAATCTTTGGTACAGACTCCCCAAAAACGTCACATTATCATGAATTTAATCTTTTTTTTTAAGCAAACAATTCAATTTGTGATGCAAAAATAATCGTTGCCACATCATCGTGAATCGCAATATGTTTTATGAGCTAGTTGCTGCCGTCGTCGTCTTACTTTTTCCAACTTTAGCTTCGTTTTTATATTGTTTGTTTGATTTTTTTTACTCTATTTATTCAATACTGTGGAATATGTTTACATTTATGTTTAGATTTACGTCGTATATAGGCTCTTATATGTCTATTTTCCATTTTTATTTTTTACTATATGTATACACGTAATACATTCATTTATATTCTATATATAAAGTAGTTTGAGTTTAGCAGTGTAGACGCACGAGTTTGGTGTCATTGTTTTGTTGTAACATCCAACCGATGGATCGGGGTAATGTGGAACCGGGTTCTCGACCCCCCCCCAAATCCCTGGGTATAAACGGGCTATAGATACGGGGCGGAGGTTATGTAGTGGTGCATCTTTTCTGCTGAGTCACAGTCGTCCTTTCATACTTCCTCTAAAAGCCGAGAGTCGGTCCAACAACCATCTGAGCCTGTGTGTGTGTGTGGGGGGGGGGGTTTCCACTGAGAGAAAACTTTAAATAAAGAATAGATATTATAAAGATGTTGTTGTTGTTGTTGTTTTTACCTCAGGTTGTGTCCCCTACGCTGCCCCCTTCTGGTTGGATCTTTAAATAACAAATTAATGCTTAATGTTTATCTGTACTGTGATTATTTGTCCATATTTACCACAATCTGTCTCATTAACAGCTTTTTAAAGCAAATACTAAGCTCAACAATGTGAAGTTAAATAAGTATCCCATAACTGCAATAATAATAATAATAAAGCAAATAGTTAAAATAATATGAATTAAATAGTTTCCTGTAATAAAGCAGTTAAATAAGAGACGCACAGCGCGCGTTTTTCTACATTAACGGTTATAAATATAAAATCTTTTCACATTAACATTGCGTTGCGCGGACCACGTGGTTCCCTCTCGGCCAATCAGCGACGACCTTCCTGGGTCTTTGTTGAGCTCGTGCCTGCCTCCCCCCCCTCGCTCGTGCACACCGAGCACAGATTCCGCCATCTCCGTTAACGGAACCGTCGCCACGTTAAAAAACGGCTGAAACATCCGGTCGACTTATTGGAAGTTTCTGTATCGATACGAGGGGTTTTTGTTTTTTTTAAATCGCGGCAGTTAAAACGCGCGTTTAAACGGCGGAGGGTTGGTGTTTAGTGCGCTTGCGCCGAGAGCAGCGATCGGTGACCGACATAGAGGACGAGATGCGCCGCTCCGCGCTCCCGCCGCATTGTAGCTAACGTTACACACCCGCTCTTTAACGCCAAACCGACGCGTTACCGGGAATTAATCGCGGTGTGCGGCGCAAACGGCTGCGTAATGTAGAAAAAGATTACCAGGGAAAATGGCGCTGTTCTCGCTCCCTCCCCTTCTTCCTCCGCGGTTCTCCCGAAAGTTCGGAGTGACGAGAACAAACGCGACTGCGCAGACTCCGAATTTTTTTTTTTTCCCTCCCTCGAACGCGCAACATTTTGAGCCCTCCGCGCGCCCCCAGCTGCCCCCACGCGCCCTGCACACTGCGCAAACTCACTAATTCTGCACAATTTAACTCCTTTTATTCATATTTAATGATTAAAACATCTGATTTACCCCCCCCCACCACCACCACTGACATCATTAATGAGTCCAAACACATGCAGGCCACATTTTTGCGCACAATTTTTATTAAATTTTAGCATTTAATTCCATTAAAAACATTAAAAACATCAATATGCATGCTCTCTAGTTCCCCAGTCGCTGTCTGGGAGCAGCTGTGTAACAAACATGGAGGCCCTGTTGGGACCAGCAAAGGTCATGAGCCTCCTTGTACCTCACATACTAACATTAGGAACAGTGAACAATAACGCACACACACAAAGACCCTCACACCCAGCACACGTCTGCAGTGAAATAACCAACACACACTGAACCACAACAGAAACACTCATCACCACCATTTTATATGAGCGTTGGGGGGGGGAAGAGAGGGAAGAAGATGGAGAGGTTCAGGAGGGAAGGCGGTTCCACGTTCGTCCGCTTGGTGTCACCAGAGATCTTCCTCTGGGGACAAATAACGTGTTTCCTTCTTGAGGGCGACACCCGGCTGCGCCTGCAGAGGGCGCCATCATGCACGTGTTTCACCCTGACTACAGGAAGAAGGGGGGGGGGGGGGGTTACACAATGATGTTTACATTGGGAAATAAACTGGTTGCTGATAAAGTATTTTATTTAATGCTTTCTTTAAGATATTTGCTGACACACATATAGAAAGCTCCAGAGCCGCCTGCCGCTGTGTTCCTCTGCACACTTTCACCTCTTTTTGTGAACCACTTTATTGATTTGTGTGTGTGTATATATATATAACGCTGTGCAATCCCCCACAGGAACAGACAACAACAAAAGAGCTACCGCTATCAGATATAAAGAGGAGACAGTCGAACGCGAGTGCAGTCACAGCAGAGACACTTTGGCACAGCATGCAGAAGCACAGTGACTGCAGGAAGGATGGAGAACGAGGAGCAGCTCCTTCTATCGTTTAATGAGGTTGTTGGCTCTCTGGTTGGCGGCGTCGATGCGGGACACGTTGAGGATAGCCTGCACACACAGAAAGAGAGAGAGAGAGAGAGAGAGAGAGAGGGGTAAAACACAGGAGGTTCACTTCAACGCAACGGCCAATCAAATCCCCGGGATGAGCAGTACAGTAGAGGGCGCCGAGACATTTTTAACCCACGAAATGCAGATTTTTTTATGAATAATAACAATAATAATATGAATATTGACGTGTTTTATCCCAGCACGGTCACATAATTCAGTTTACAGCTTTAAAAAAACACGTTTTAGGGTGAAAGACATCTTTTAATTAAATGTTAAATTGGTTTTTTTTCAACCATTTATACATTTTTCTAAATGTTTTTGACACTTTATCTGTTACTTTCAATGATTTTGACCATTTCTACAGTTTTATATCATTTTTTAAAAATCATTTCTACATATTTTAGCTACATTTTTGACACTTTATCTGTTACTTTGTGTAATTTTTACCATTTATATAGTTTTATATGATTCGTTCAATCATTTATACATTTCCTTTGCTAATGTTTTCTACAATTCAGGAGAAGGAACTCTTTAAATACATTTTTTTCAATAATTTATACATTTTTATCCAATGTTTTTGACACCTTATCGGTTACTTTTAATGATTTCGACCATTTATCAGTTTTTAGATGATTTTTTTTCAATCATTTATCCACTTTTCAGCTAACGTTTTCTAGTTTATCAGTTTTTTTTAACTATTTGGATCATTTATCCATTTGTTTAGGTTGTATTTCCCATCTTTAAAGGGTTATTAAGAGAAAAGGAATTAAAGGCCAATAAAGGCAGGGCGAGTTCAGTATTAGGAGTTTTGCGGTAATATAAATATCTGTGGCGTACTGCGTGGTCATGTGACAGCAGTACCTTTCCCTGTATGCGTTCGATCTGGACGTTCCCGGTATCGATCTCGTGGCCCATGTCCAGCGCCATGCTCTTCAGATTCCCGATGATGCTGCCGACATGAGTCAGGTTCTCCTCCATCTCGTCCTCTCGGGCGTCGTTGGTCACCCTGAGGAAGAGCGGGATGGCGTTAGCGTGCTGTGATATCGGGCCCGTGTTTGGCCAGCTGCCCGCTCTGAGTGATGGTTGATGATATTAAATGTCAGGTCTGGTCTAAAGGAGAGCAAACACACACACACACACACACCAGCTGCCTCACCTACAGTAAGCACTGAACTGTCTCTACCTCCGTATGTATCCTCCGCTCATGATCATTATCTCCCTCTCGTCCACCACGTGAGACGACGGCGGCTGATTGGAAACGACGCCGTCCTGAGCGGAGCCTCCTCCCCACACCGCCTTGTACGCCGAGCTCTCCTCAAAGGCCTTCAATCTGTGGGGGGAGACAGCGACCTTATCGATGAGTTCAGCCTGTTAATCGTGCTGCCTGTCGCCGCTGTACGTTACAGAGTGGATACAGGTGGTCGGATGATACCTGAGCGGGCTTTACAGCAGAGAAGCAAGCAGCAGAAGCAAAGCTAAAGCAGCCAATGAGCAAACCGATGAACCCGGCGTCACGTTTCTGATGTTATTTCACAGCCTTCACTATGGGAGTGGATATAATTAACATGTTATTCCTCATACAGTTGAACTGTCAGTGTTTGTTTGACTTTGAATGAGTGCTCCCTGTGGCACAATCTGTAGGATTCAACCATTTATCCAGATTTAATTTAAAACTTTAAAACTTTTTCCTTATTTTATCTGTTACTTTGTTACTTTTGGACCATTTAGTCATTTATTTTATGATTTATTTCAACAATTTATACATTTGTAGGTAATGTTTTCTTCAGTTTATCTGTTGCTTTCAGTTATTTCCACTGTTTATCCATTTTTAGACAATTATTTCAATCATTTATCCATTTTTGTATTTTATGTTTTCCATTATTTATGTTATTTTTATTTATTTTTCATTTTTAGATGTTTTTTTCAATCATTTATAGCTAATTTTAATCATTTTTTGCCAATGTTTTACACAATTCAGGAGGAGGACCTCTTTAAATGAAATGTTAAATTATTTTCTTTAATAATTTATAAATTTTTAGCTAATGTTTTTGACACCCTATATTTCAACCATTTATCCATCTCTATATGATTTAGCTAACGTTATCTGTTTTCTTTTAACTATTTCGACCATTTAACCCTTTTTTAGCTAGTTTTGCACCAAATGAATTAAAGGCCTGTCCTTTACACATTTTTTAGCTAATGTTTTAATCTTAATTTAATCTTTAATCTTACTAACTTTGATCTATTTTGACCATTTATCCATTTTTAGACAATTATTTATTATTTATACATTGTTTAGCTAACGTTTGTGACCACGTATCCATTCTTTTTAATTAACTAAACTTCTACTGTTCAGGTGTTTCAGCTGACTCAACATGTGGATGTATGTGCTTTTTAATTAAATCGTAATTAGTTGAGTTACTCCACAATCTCCCATGTATCTCCTGGCGTACCTGAGAATAATGTGTACCTGTCGAACACACACACACACACACACACACACACACACACACCTGCACCTACTTATCACAGGAGCAGAGGCCACAGCACTTGCCCAGGTCGGTCAGGTTTTTCTCGGCCTCCTTCATATCAGAGTTGATCTGATCCAAACCCTCCTCTATACGCTCCAACTGCTCTACGAGAGGGGAAGGAGGACGGGGGGGAGGAGGACGGGGGAGCAGGCGGGAGGAGAGGAAGAAAGGAAGAACAACAGGAAGGAGGAGGAAGAGACAGCGGCAGTATGAGGAGGATGAAAGGAGGGAGGTAAAGAGGTGAGAAAAGGAGGAAGAATGGAGGGAGAGGAGGAGGAGGGCAAATCAATCACAAACTGTCCCAAAAGCCCCACAGCTGAACTAAAAAAAAACAGCCACCAGCAACTGAACACGAGCGGCCCAAAACTTTAAAACCCCACTGATAAATCATAAATAACTGCTCTAACTATTGATCTGCTGAACGCAACGATGCGGCGATACGCCGGCGGTTTGCACGCGGCCCACGGTGCCCAGTTCCATTCTGCTTCCTCGCTCAGGGTTTGGTCGAGTTCAGTCTCGTGATTCGAGATCTTAAAACCGGCGACGCGTTCAGAAACTGGCCTGTGAGTGTAGGATGAGTTGGAATAAAGGGTGTGATGGTAGGATGATATCTCTCCAGTATTTACAGTAAGATAGATATAACTGTAAAAAAGAAAAAAGGTTAAAATAACCTTAAATAATCAATTATTCTAACCAGTATTAGAATAATAGAGGCTCCACTGAAGCTGGGCACACACGATACAATTTTAGAAATGTTGTTTTCCCTCCCAACTGTACGAGTAAATCTCAAAGCTCACTCAATTTATTACCTGGTAAGTAATCATTTTGTCAGCGTTGTTGTAGATTGTGAGTAAATTCTCTAAACAGACGTGTTCTTATGGAGGAACCAAACCCACAAGATCAGGCAAGAATCCGTCTCATCCGATTAAAGTTGTTGGGACCAATCAGCGTCCTTTGAGGAACTACTGGCAGCTTCATCGTGATGTATGGACGTGGTTTAACACTACGTGTGTGCCGACAATGTGCTAAAGACGTTGGCGTAGATGCTCAAAAGAAGAGCAAAGAACGACAGTGAAGGCTTTTCTCGATGGACGAGATGTTTGACTACGTTCAGTTAATGGAACTGGGCACCAGTGTGGGGTTTTCTCTACAGGTCATCAGTTGGATCCTTGGAAACCAGACCTACTTCCTGATTGGCCAGATACACAGACCACAGCACTGGGCCATGTCTGTCAGATTCTTCTCCGCCTCTTTCATGTCCCTGTTGATGGAGTCCATGCCTTCCTCAATACGGTCCAACTGCTCTGTTAGGAACAGGAGTTTAATGAGGGTGTAACAACAGCAGAGACAGTGACTGATCTGATTGGTCCAGGGCGTTTCACATCCCCAGGAATCACATTTCAGGCTGAATCTGAGATATAATGTGGGTTTAATATGTTACAGCATGTGAACTGTGGTCTGGAAAGACGTTGAGAAACATTCATGTGAAGTAATTTTACTTTCTGAGATTCAGTTCAAACAAAGTTATCCTTTTTTTTCTCCTTCATTTTATTGAAAAACTGGTATCAATTGGCTCGTTTCAGATGAACTGTGCCTCGTTTTGGAAAGTGGACGCCATCAGGCAGCAGCAGGACGGCGTGACAAACAGATGCAGTCAGCTCAGACGGTTTCCAGCAGCTTTTAAACAATATACAGGAAGTCAGAGGACATCCTGTTACAGACATCTGAAGGCTACCTGCAGACCACATTCAGGTATATAAATAAGCTTTTTTGTTGTTATTACAAACCATTAAACATGCGTTTGTTAACAGATTAAACCTTGAGACTAACAATCCAGCGTTAAATATTACAATCTCTCAGAAAAAGTAAGATTTTCTACAAAACTAATCAAAGCCAATCAGCTGTTTGATCAGGCCACAGTCAGGCGTTATGGTTATTGTTGCCCGTCACAGCAAGTCGGACAGAAATCTGACCAGCAGGCATTGTGTGGCCATCGGCGGTGATCGATTCTGTCTCCAACGAGCCTACTAACTTCTCTTCAGTTGTCAGAGTCATCCAGTGGGCTCGATTGGACGGTGTTCTAGGTAACGTTGATACAACGTTCATCTGCAGGCGCTCTAACAGCTGATACAGACAACAAAGTCAGCTGTAATTCGATATCCAGACTAAAACGCAACCCCAGAGTTTTAAAACTCAAACAGGGCCAATATGTCTCCGTGCTAGGGGCTGAATAACACCAGAGGAGTGTGGACGCCGTATGCTTTTTAAAGTCCAGAGGCAGTAATCCTTAAATATTGAAGAAATACTAAAATATTGCTGCTACCCTCTTCCTTGGAAAACTTTCTGTATCACTGTTGGGAATATTGTACAAAGTTAGAATCAAATATGATCGATTACCTCCTTGTTCGTCCAGCATAACCAAAGTTCTGATCGCAGCATCTTTACTCTGGAGGAAGGAGACGACAGAAGCACATAAATACAGAATGCACATTATTAAAAGAACGCTGTTTCTTTACTCTTTATTTCAGTATGTCTCAAAATAATGACAGTATCACAAAGTCAGTATAACGGGCTTCCGTAGAAAACCCACAATCGCTTTCCAGCCGCCTACAGTTAATCACGTCAGAGCATCAGTCTTGTTAACAGTAATTAGGTGAGACATCTTTGGGCATTTCCTCTTGTGGAAAAAAACAGAAGGCTTATGTGAAGATGATAAAATGATAATGAGGATGAACTCTCTCTGACTCTTCATATCTTTATTAGTTTTAATTGATCGCCGTTGGGCTCGCTAGTTGTGTGTTAGCGTGCGTGTGTTTTTACCTGCTCACCCAGCTGCAACATCCGCCTCGTGCTCTCCAGGGACTGAAAGACAAGAGGACAACACGTTACATGAATAAATGTTTTTATTGTTAGTTCACTTCAATTACTTTCAGTCAAACTGTGAGGCTCTATCATGGCTGCCAGAGTTAAACTGAAACTCCTCAACCTAAAGTTAAAGATAACTGTCTAAATTTGGCAGTAATTATAGGTAAAATGGAGAAATATTATATAATTATTCAAATTGTGCATTTCCAGTTAAATCCTTTATAGTGTAACCCAGTGCTTGAAATGGGCCAGGACTCACCAGTGCCAGCATGTTAATACAACGCCAGCTTAATGCAAAGAAAACACCTTAACACAAAGAAAACACCTTAACACTGAAAAACACCTTAACACTAAAAAATACCTTAACACAAAGAAAACAGCGCTCAAAATGTCCTCGTTAGAAAGAATAACAAATGGCAAAAGAATGATGGATTGAGCAATTATATCAATTAAATTCCTCTGACAACAAAACAATCCTGTCTTCCATCTTGTCTTTTCCAGCATATTTATGTTAGGAAGTATCAGACCTGTAAAATACATTAAAATAAAATAAAAACACGGGTTTATTGGCTACCATTCCCGAACTGACAGGTCGTTCTCTGATGCAGGGAGATCACATTTTAACCCGTGTCCTTTGTGGGGGGGACAGTGAGACTTGCTTCTTCTAATCTTCAACCATCTTCCATTCTTAGGAAACACACACTGGACGTTTACAGATGCTACTCTGATGTCCCGTTCCCCTGAAGGCAGCACGGAGTTGCACTACAGGAAGTAAAGAGAGCTGTTGCTATGGAAACGATACGTCTCGAGGAGTCGCAGTGGCGTAAACGAGCAGGTTTTAATGATAAAGACGTGAGAAAAGATATTGATCTCATTTATCTTTATACACTGTAAAAAAAAAAAAAAATCTGTAAATTTACAGGGTTTTTCTGTTTGTTATTAAAACGTGGAAATATTAATAAATTACAAAACTAGCCTGTGAATTTACATTTCTGATGTAAAACAAACTGTAAATAATCATAAAATAACTTATTTAAAGAACATTTCCCTTTTTCACATCAAAAGATTAAAATACATTTTCAAATCGATAATTTTCGGCAGATATTTGCTGTTTATTTAATAGATTCAATACTGTTAATACATTTTTAAAAATAATAATTTTAATTTAATTAACAGTATTTTTAGTTATTTCTGCCTGTTTTCCTAATTTATTTTATTTAGTTTTTAGTATAACTTTTGTTAAATACTTTCATAATAAATATTTTTTTTACCAAAAATCCATTGTATTTTAGTTTATTGTCATTTTGATCACCGTATTATATTTTTAAATCTACTTTATTTCATTTTCGAAGCACATTGAACTCTACTAAACTGTATGAAATGTGCTATAATGATAAATGACCTTGTTGATTGATTGATTGATTGATTGATATATCCTATATATACCATCCTGCACCAGTACTTTTTGTATGTTTTGCACGTTATAAAATAAAATAAATAAATAAACGTCCCAATTAATGAAAATCTTTTTGTTATTTTGGACCGTTGAGCTTTAGAAAGTAAACAAAAAGGGGACGTGATGACCCGTGTTTACACTGTACTGACAGTCTTTCCGCCTCTTGCTGTGTGTGTGTGTGTGTGTGTGTGTGTGTGTGTGTGTGTGTGTGTGTGTGTGTTGTGTAAATATCATGTCGATCTCCGGGGACTTCCCCACCGAGGGGGATGATGAGGTGACAAATGGCTTTGACCTGCAGTAGCCTTTAAACCCCACAGAGAGAGAGTGTGTGTGTGTGTGTGTGTGTGTGTGTGTGTGTGTGTGTGAGTGTCTATATTGAGTGTATGAGCTCATCCATTGCCTGATGTTTCTCTGCAGGTTGTTGCACTGGGAGACCAGCTGTCTCTATGGCAACCAGGTGAGCCAGGTGTCCTTAAAGGGACAGTATCAGTGACAGTCTGTTAGCATGAGATCCAGTTTTAAGCCACATCTGTAACAAACATTATTTAGATATTGGTGTTTTTAACTCGTGTCCTTGTAGTTTGTATTCAGTATCTATCTAATCAATAAATCTTTAAACTAAATAAAGTAAATTAAAGTAAATTACCAAGAGCTATGTATAAACAATATTTAGATTGCTGGTTGAATAAAAGAAAATACCTGAAGATGTCACCTTTGCCAATTTAATTGACTGATTACTTAAATAAATGTATCTTTATTTACAGCCCTTATTGTCTATATTATTTATCCTAAAGTCCTAAACTTTTGGAAAATCTGCCACAGTTCTGCTCCTTTTAGAGAAGCCCCAGCATACAGCAGTGTGGTTTATTATCACTGTAATTTCAATGGTTTGCTGACGGTCTAATCTTTAAAAACTCAATTAGAACAGCACACACCCGCCCTGAATCTCACCCGCTCTTTACTTCATTAGGAACAGATTAATTCATTAAGTCCGACAGCAGGAAGCCAACAAACCGACGGCACCGAGCTGTACTGTATTTTACATCTGAACTGATCAGCTCTGATTGGGTGAAAGATTATTAACATTTAAGTTGCTTTGAACCCATGAAATGGCAGATTGTGAATGGAGCCCATTTCTGCCAATGTGACAGAAATTTTTTTTTATATATTATTATTATATAGTATATTATATGTACTGAAAATATTTATAAAGTTTCTCATTAATTTGAGATGCTATGTCAAAAATATTGAGACAGTTTCTCTTCATAATGAGCTTCCAGCTTTTAACCATTTTTATTTCACAGTGTACTCTCACCTCATCTGTGACCTGATTGGCTCTCCTCTGCAGCTCCTGCTGCTCCGTCAAGACAGGCGGGTCAGACGCCATGTTGGCCGTCCGTGTGTGTGTGTGTGTGTGTGAGTGTGTGTGTGTGAGTGTGTGTGTGTGTGAGTGTGTGTGTGTTCAGTCCCAGGTGACCAGATTAGTCTGCAGCATCAGGTGGTTTTGGCACCTGGAGAGCAGAGTGACACCATTATTATTTATAATGACCAACAATAGAATCAGACAGACAGACAGACAGACAGACAGATAGACAGACAGCGGGCAGACAGACAGATAGACAGCGGGCAGACAGGCAGACAGACAGACAGATTCTCATCTGCATAAAAAAAACATTTAAATTAAATTCACTTTACTTTTTTTTTAAACGACCCGGTGGGTTTTAAGAGGTTTTTATATTATATATATATTATATTAAAGAGATAATTTCTATAAAATCCAGACCAGGCCTCTATTAGAAACCTTTGTTTATTTGTCACAGCGTGTAGCCACACCAGGCTTTTAAAAGAGACCAGCGTCTATTAGGGACCCGGCTTTTATTGGTAGTTTTACAGTACATGTATGTCTCTTTTATCTTTTAACCATTTTCAAAATGTGGTTGTCTTTTAAACATAGATTAGCTTAGCACGTAGCATATCTAAGTACAGGAAATGGCAAATGAATTAAACTCAAAATACGAGTGCAAAAGAGTCTGCAACCATATCTGTACAGAAAAATAATAATCACACTGAGATTGGACAACAAAGCGAGAATGGAAAGAACTTATTTAAGATTATTTACACAATATTACTGTGTTTTATTAATTATCACCCTAAAAGCTTCTCTCTTAAGATCATCTAATAAATACACTGAGACATTAAGGAAACAATTATAAAGCAATATAATAATGTAACTAAACACAATAAAGCGCCCTCATCAGCGAGTGAGACACCAGCTCAGTAACTGTCGGCGTCCAGGAGCTCGTTCTCCCGACAACCGGCCAGTTAACACCAGGCATGTTAACCAGTTAGCTGCTGGTGGCCAGCACAATATTACATTACTGAGCTCTAACTCAGACTGTGTAGCACAGGATAACAACATTATCAGAGTTACTATCTATTACCAGCTCCTGTCAGACTCTCCATGTCTCCGCTACAAGCACAGAGAGTCCGTTGGAGCTCCTACAGTCACTAGAAGCACGTTCACAGCAGTGTCTGTGTGCTACCTGTGTTATAACGTTAGGTAATCAACCAGTATCCATATACAGAGTTTTTGGTTTTTGGGGTTTCGTTCCTCTTTAAGTTTTCACATTTTCCAGGATAAATTTAAGACGCGACAAGAAGCCGCTTCAGCTAGATTTCTGTTTTCAGTTGATGAAGAGTTATGAATCTGTCCTTCGTCCTCTTACATGAGCAGACATCCCCACAATGTCCAACCAGGTGTTGGGTCCTCACAATGCCCCTCCCCCTAACGCCTCCACACACACACACACACACACACACACACACACATTGTGCCGGAGCATCATAATTAGTGCAAACCGCTAATCACCACCTGCTGGAATAAAGAGGAGGAAGAGGAGGGGCAGCGGAGAAGAAGAGAGAAAAGAAGAAAAGACTCTTTGGTGCAAACTGGAATCACACAAAACAGAGAAAATTGATTATGTCTGCCGTAATCTGATCAATCAATCATTAAACAAATGAATGAAACACGTCTCAGTTACCAGATTCACAGACGTTTAATGAGAGCAAATAATTACCTTTTTTAAAGCGAAAATCAGTTAATCAAATTGTTTAAGCACTAATGAAGACACAGAAAAATCTGTAAGTTTACAGTTTATTTTACAGATTTTCTCTGTATTTTTTTAAATATGTGAAAATGTAACTGTAAATAATCATAAAATAACTGCTTATTTAAAGAAAATGTCTTTTTTTTTACATTAAAAGATACATTTGCAAATATTAACAGTTTATTTAATAGATTAAACTGTTAAATTCATGTTTAATACTGTTCATACATCTCTAAAACGATATAAAATTAGTGACATTAACAGTAAAAAAGTATTTGTTGTGTAATTTACATGGATTTGTTTGTTAACTGACAGATATTTTGTATAATTCTGGAAGTTTTCACAACAGAAATGTTGTTTATCAGTGTATAAGGTAAACTGTCCAAATACAGTTGTTATCAGTGTAAACAGCAATAATTTCTGTAATCTCACAGATAATGACTTTTATTACACTTCTATAACTTTTAACATTCACATTAAAATAATAACAATCCAATAATAACAGCACTCTGCTGTAAATGTAAGTCTGATTATTGTATTATAGCAGAGTTCACCTGGATTTATAGATCATTGCATTGGTTTTACAGTGTAAATATCTTTAATTTAACATTAAAAAGACAAAAAAAGCTAAAAACTTTTTTTAAATTACAGAATATTACTGTATTTTTACGAGTCAGTTATTTTATTGCCGTCCAGCTGCAGGAATATTAGTTTCTTTACAGCAGGCCTCAGTATGACGGTCGGTGTCAGCAGATAGTAAACAATGAGTCCTTCCTGCCACCTGCTGCACATTGTGACGTCACCTGTACACCTCACCTGCAGGCTACACACCACCTGTACACTACACACCACCTGTACACCTCACCTGTATCTACACCTCACCTGTACACTACACACCACCTGTACACCTCACCTGTACACTACACCTCACCTGTATCTACACCTCACCTGTACACTACACACCACCTGTGCGCCGCCCGGCCCCACCTACAGTCTGCAGACTTATACTGTATATATTAATAATTAATATCTGTACTCTGATTAATAACCAGCAGAGTAATGTTCATTTAAATGTATCATGTGATCTTTAAACACACACACACACACTGTTTACACTGAGAGCACACACACACACACACACACACACACACACACTGTTTACACTGAGAGCACACACACACACACACACTGTTTACACTGAGAGCACACACACACACACACACACACACACACACACACACACACTGTTTACACTGAGAGCACACACACACACACACACACACACACACGGACTCTCTATGGATTTAATGATGAATTGATGCTGATTGATGATTAAACTCATCTTATATTC